CCAGTGTTGCGGATTAGGTGGAAGAGCTTGCGGTAATTGCCTACTGCTCCTGCCTCCTCCGTTCCTTGTGCCCGACTGGTCTACCTGCCTTCCTTGTCAGCACGTAGGCTTTGCATTAGTTCACGCTTAATAGCCCGTCTGCTCACCTTGTGGACAGAGTCAGCTGGGAGGTGCCTTCTAGATTCCAACAGGTTCACCGCCCTATCGGATATCCAGTGACTGGTACGGTGACGATGGATAGTGCTACATCCACATGCTCCTGCGTCGTACATGGCGGCCGAGATCCTATTCCACTGAAGCTCAGTGTCATTGGGACAAGAGACTAAAAATTCGGTATACAGTGCGGCTTGATAGACTTACCTGACCGATGGCTGAGACAATTTCTCAGTTGCCAATCGGAGGAGACGCATGGTGCATCTCCCTGTCAAGTTCATGGAGAAACGACACGGTACCAAGGCATGATCAGAGTCGACACAGGTACTCCAGTACGAGCGGCAATCCAGGATGGAACTACGCCATCTGTAACTTATGGCTATGTGGTCAAGTTGGGTCCATCGCTGAACAGCTACAGTATAACGACAAGTGGCACTTCGGCGCCCACTGTGTCGAACAGCAGTGTCACTAAGAAACAATTGGTGATCCGCAAACATTTGTAACAGGCGCTTGCCGTTGTTAGTCCGTTCAGAGTTAAGCCCATAATTACCACCCAGCTGAGCGTCTGAAGAGCTCATACGCCCTATTTGTGCGTTAATATCCCCTGCAAGTACTATAATGTCTGAACTAGTCGCACTGCGTAGTAGAGTGTTCAGTTCGTGATAGAATGTGTCCTTGACAGCACTAGAACTGCAGTCGGAGGGAGCAGAAACGGAAATCACAAACAAACAGCGTTTTGTATTACTTCGTGAATCAACCTTAGCTGGTGTCTTCAAATGGGCTGCATATAAACGGCTGTTCACCAAAATCCAATCAACCAACAATGGCTCAGCCTTGGAGCTTAGAATGGTATCTACACCAGCTTAACCAGTGAGTGCTGCCCCGGCGTCCCCGAATGCATGCAACCAATAACGAGGGGATAAGCAGGGTACAGTTATTCCAACAGTCCCATTATGGTCATTGATCCTAGTTTCGGACACACAACACACATCAATGCCCAGTGTGTCTAAGGTGCGTGCGAGTGCAGTCTGTTGACCTGTTTGTCTTAGAGTGCGAACGTTGGACGTCGCCATGGAAACTGGATAGCGTTGCCTTATAAGGGACTTTTGCCGATAGGCGTCCAATAGATGCTGTGGGATGGTGGCTGCAGATGATTCTACTCTAGTGACACTTCAGTTGCTGTCAATTAAGCTGGGAATTATAGAATGAAGGATAGTAATGGGGGTTGGGATGGGAGTACGAGAAAAAGATGGAAAAGAAGGTAGGTGCCAGCAGTAGCATGTTTTCGCTTATCCGCCCTGCTGTATGCAGCAAATAAGGCGATCTTTGATTTTCTGCGCGACGGTCGATGCAGAATGAAGTTTATGTTTGAAGAAAATGAAAATGTCATGGTTGTATGTGGGCTGAGATACTGCCAGGGCGCCCAGACCTAGACAGGAGAACGATCAGTGTCCTCATCTAAAGCCTTTGGCTCAAAAGCCTGTCCGCAAAGCAGCGGGGAGTTGGCAGTGATTTAGTTTTACAGAAATGGACGCCATCCCATTTCAAACCCCCAACCTGGAGGACAAGGAGACTGAGTTTGTCTGACTTCTCATCATTGACCAACCTAGTAAGAGTAGCTCTCAAGGTGCCCGGAGGCATCACCCAGTATAGCTCAATGGGTCAATGAGGTACGCAAACCGTCGCATCACGTTAAGGTCCAGTCTCGTTGCGACGGGAAGTAGTAGGTAATAGACAGGTAGACACCTTGTCAACATGCACATCAAGCGAAGCCACACCGTGGATAACAAAAAACAGCCAATCACTTGAGACGACGATATCAAATATAATATATCGAATAATGCATACAGATACGATGGCATAATTCTTCGCTAAATTAGCATATGAACGAAGTTGGTTAGCAACGAATCCACGATAAAGAAAAAGTGTCCGCAAGTTATCTAAAAATGCTACAAAAGCGAAGGTTATTCAGGAAGGCAGAATAAACCAAATAAAGTTGAATGAAATTTATGCAGCTTAACAAGACCTAGTTCAAGTGTATGTTGATTTAACCCAAATGCGGTGAAGAAGCGTCAAGTATGCAACATCAGCCTCAGCATGGGGCACACATACACGCATGGTTGGCGGCATCCGGTTTCAGATTTGCCTGTCACTGTGTCCAGCCACAGGACGCCTGCGCCTACAGAGGGACCATGGATGGCTTGCGCTGTACCACCCACAGCTCCAACCACACACCCCATATCCAGTGTAAACCCGAAGGAATAAGACCGGGAGGCATGCGGATGGGAACCACGTTTCATCAACGGAGCCGGCCCACACTCCTTCACAGGCAAACACAAGCACGCTGTATTTGGGGAATCAAGCGCACACAAGGCGGTGGCTGGACCGTAGTCCGTTCCACACTGAGTGCATGGAACCGCTCTTTGAGCCTAGCACGGCCACAAGAACCGTGCACCCCGTCCCCTCCAACAACGACCAACTGTCTCCTGGAGCCAGTATGGACGAGGTAGTGGGTAATAGACAGGTAGGCACCTTGTCAGCATGCACATCAAGCGCAGCCACACCGGGGATATCAAACAACAGCCAAACACTTGAGAGAGAGAGAGAGAAAGAAAGAAAATAACTCGATTGATGCATACGGAAACGGTGACATAAACCTTAAGTTAATGAGCATATGAAATAAGTTGTTTACAAACGAATCCTAGATAAGTGCACGAGGTCAGAAAGTATACTTTACGGAAATGCCGCGAACACAAAAATGTTATGGAAATCGAATACAATTGGCTTAAGCGAGGTGTGCAAGTTAATGGAATAGAGTACAGGTAGACATTTATATGCGAAAGGAAAGCATTAAGCCAAAATTGAAAACCCACCACCTGAAATAAAGAGACTTAACATGCAAGCACGCGGTAAGTAAAAAGAATGCAGCGTACCTACAGACGCTGCACCGGTTTTGAATACTTCTCTGCAGGACCCGTCGTCGCTTCTGTAGTGGTCCCGAGTGGCCTCGCTCATGGCTCACTAGACACTAGACATTTATATGAGAAAGAAAAGCATCAGGACAAAATTCCATACTCAACACCTGAAATAAAGAGACTTGGCATGCAAGCACGCGGTTAGTAAATCGAATGCAGCGTACCTACAAACGCTGCGCCGGTTCTGCCTACGTTCTCTGCAGAACCCGTCGACGCTTCGGTAGTAGTCCCAAGTGGCCTGGCTCATGGCTCACTAAGCCTGCCTGACTAAGGCATTCGCGACCGCACGTTCTACAGCAGCATGAGCTCGATGTCGATGGAGTACAATTCATCGGTGCTTGCCACTTCCGCACTTGCCGCTTCTCTGCATGCATGAGGGCTTTCTCCCGCACTTCAGCAACTGCCTTCGTGATTAGATCGCGCCATGCACGCCGATCAACCGCTTTCGATTCCCATGATCTGCACTCAAGGTTAGAACGTGTGAGGCTCACTTTAATCATGTCCTGGTAACGTAACTTTGGTTTCGCCACGTGCCGCTTCCCATTACTCAGCTGACCGTATAAGAGTTGTTTCGGTATCCGCGTCGAATCCATACGCCACACATGACCGAGCCATCGCAGGTGTCTCAATAAAAGTATGAAGTCCACTGCATACATCCCACTTCGGCGCAAAACTTCCGTGTCTGCAACTCTGGCGCCCCAACCGATGCGCAAAATTCGTCGCAGACACTGCTGATGGAACCGCTCGAGATATCGCACATCCCGACGGTACATCGTCCACGTTTCATTGCCGTATAGAAAAAAGGTCAGTACCATGGATTTGTACACCATCAGCTTCGTGCCAATGGCAAGCTGATGGTTGTTCCACACTCGGTACTCAAGCTTCCCGAATGCTGCCGCTGCCTTCGACACGCGAATACGCAGCTCACTGTGTAGCTGCTGATCAGTTGACATCACACTCCCAAGGTAGCTGAAGCGGGATATGGTTTCCAATACTTCAGCACCAATGCTGATTCGCGGCAATATTGAAGATTGCACCTCCGGTGAAAGCTGTAAGAGACAGACAGTTTTGCTTGTGTTGATGGTGAGCCCGAATTTGGCCGCTGTCGAAGCCAGAGCACTAGTCATGTGCTGCAACTCATCCGCGCTGTGTGCAAACAACGCACAGTCGTCAGCAAACAGCAACATACGGATAGTTGTCTCACAGACATATATACATATATATATATATATATATATATATATATATATATATAAATTCTTCTGATGGTATGAGGTAAGTGCTACCGAGGGCAAATTTACAAAGCCATTTCCAACTACTGAAGTCCAGTTGCGTTTCAGTCGGCTCGTCTACTTTGTCGCCCTTGCAGTCACTGTTTGTGGTTCATCTCATCATCTCTTGGTTACTAGTTTATCTGCGCTTTCATTCTGGTCATTATGTGACGGTGTAGTAAAATTCACGAAAGGTAGTCGATGAACGTCGCAACACGTTTTATCCCACTCATTCGAGTGACACAATAATATTCGGAACAAAATGTAAACTACATGTGTTAGCTCTGGCTGAGACCCTTTTCCTTAATTTTCAACCTCCGCCAAAATCCCTGCTAGTGAATTAGGATTATTTGCAGTACTTAATGCTACTAGGTGGTTATCTGTCTTATGGGTAATAATAATTAACTTATTGTCTCTACGGGTGGCCTGCTGATACGATTGAAGAGGCTTTATGATTTCATTCTTTTCATCCCACCCGTTAAATTCATGCGTTTGGGAACTTTCTTACTTCGGTGATGGTCAAAGCTTTAAGCGTAACTTAATCGTCATCCAGACTTGTTATTGTGTCGCTCCGTAACTGTCTGACCAATTGCTTTCCCAGGTTGGCACGGAGATGACTGCGATTTGGTTGATTTGTGTGCCACGCGAAAGCCATGCGGATCTATGGGACGATGCGTGAACACTGAAGGTGGATTCCTTTGCCAGTGTCGCGAACCATTTACCGGTGAGTTTACTATTTTAGGGAGAAGTTTTTCAAAGCCTCGAAGGTACTTTGCGTCGACTCTCGCGTTACAGTGTTTTTCTGTTTATCACAAGCAGACCTGGTCAGACGTTCGCCAAATAACCGGTGAGGCATCGAAAATCCATTGCGCTCGTGCGAGTTAAATATCAGTTAACATTTCCTCTGACAAATGAGAAGTCTAGACTGCTTACACCGTTGCAGAAGAAAAAATTGGGATCTTTGGTTGTTTTGTTTCACCTCTTGCGCCGTCGCGAATGATTTTGAAACATCCCAGCTAAACAGATAACAGCATCAGGATGTGGCGACCGAGTTCATCAAAACGCATTCCTTCTGGGTCTCATGAAACACAGGTTATCAAGGTTGGCATGTTTTTTCCTTTCATACTCATCCCAATATTTAGAAACATGTAAAATAGGGTTGTACATGTGCTAAAATAGTGAATCGCGTCATTCTGTAGCTCCCAAACGACCAGTTTATTAAGCTATGTCTCTTCTCAAGTGTGATGAAAACGCAGACTTAGCTCATTGAACTGTCCCAAATTGGTCTTTTGAATTCCCTGAGACAGTCGTAATAAGTCTTTCTCCACTATGTTCGTTTAATTAACATTATGAAATTAATCTTTATAATGGTATGACTAGAGATTCCTCATATCTAGACTCATCCAGCTAGCCATCACACCCCTGAAGAAGCACGGAATGGCCGTTTCTTCCTTTGCGTATCGTCAGCATTGGGTGTTCCATCTGAGCCCTATGGGGCTCGAGCCCCTAACTCGAGTGTTACCAGTCAGTGATGGAGACCAGTTAGCTACGTGGAGACGGTAAGGATCGTAATGACTAAATTGCTAGATGTGCTCTAGCGCCGCTCACTATCCACTGACTTGCACACTACTGTCGCGCGGAGGACAGTGTAGTCCCCTCAAAAAACGACGAACTTACGAAACGTAAGCCGCCAATGAACTTGTGGCACTCGAAGTAGTTTGGTTTGCGTACCGATTACATAGGAGTAGTAGGGAGAGCTGAATTTTCGTACCAGAAATCCATCACGTCTAGCTTCAGTCAGGCAAGCAGCACACTCCCGGGAAAACATCGTACAGCAGTTCTATTCGTTTGGGAATCGTCAGCAATGCACATTTTTTGCACGTGGTTGTTTTATTTCAATTTTTACTACTGTCTAGTTAAATTGTACTCCGGCACAATAGCCGGAGTTTCTCACCCCCGGGCAACTTGTAGCATGGCGACAACGATCGCTGTTCGCCAAAGCACAGGGGACCGTGGTGGTCTATAACAGATCAATTTGGATCCTTTTCCCTCCCATGATTGCCTACATGATGCATCGTTACTGCGGATATGTCGGATTGCTTAGATTCCATTGGGACACACTGTGCTAGTTACTACTTCACATCGTCGCTTGGTTGCGACGTAGATAACTTGCCCAACAAATAACTCCTTTTTCACTGATTTTCTAGCTCACTTGCTTGGGGTAATATGTGTTAGTTAGCATTGGCGGCAAACTGAAATCACCTAGGACCAACCACATTCATTTGAAAATCTGCCCTCATCAGCACCTCAGTGTGACGAGAAGTGCAACAATAGGCATGCGCACACCTGCATCACTACGAAGTGAGACAGATTTTCCGATTGGCATTTTCCAGTGCGGTTCTTCTCGTGATCTGTCCTGGGCAAATCGTCCATTCGCGTCATTTAGGGATAAAATACGTTGCCGCCCCGGTAGGGATGAATCAATTTTCAAGTCAAATCCACAGCTTTCCATTCTTTCGTTTTTGGACTAGATTATTTATTCCCTTGCCTAATTTTGATAAAAGAAATCCGTTTATCTTCGGCTTTGAATATCTAACCGATGACTAGATTATGTTCGTATGTTTGCAATGAATTCTTGTTTCGTTGAAACTGGGCCAGGTTCTGCTGAATGCTGGATGCGCCTTGCTCATTGGAAATGTCACACTGGGCATTCCTAAAGGCACCGCTCTATAACTAACTTTTATAGACTTTGTGCACCTAATTTCCTACATAGTTCGACAATCCAAACCCATAATACATGGAGAGTATACATGACAAACAACTAACCTCATTGCTTGAAGATTAAAGGCTAAATATTGAAGAAATAAGTTTTGGTTGAATTTATATGGTGCATACATGTGAATCGCTAGCATGGAGTCATCTGGGTGTTGGGTGTTCTGAACGCTTGGCTTTCCCACCAGCCTCGTTCCTCTTCGACCTCAGTAAGTATAGTAGCGTAGGATGTGCTCCATAATATATTCCTCGTGGCTGACGACCAACGCCGGGCACTGAGAGCAGCGCTGTTGAATGTGATTAGGTTGGGTGTTGCGGTTTGGTAAGCGGAATTTTTATGCGTTTACCCAAAGAACACTCGGTGAGACGGTTGTTTTATGTGATGCAGCACTCACTTTTATACCGTATAATAATGCGTTAGCACCGCATTGTCGGATGTCGGTTTTCAACTCATTGGCAACAAGTGCAGTTAAACTGATTGAGAAGTTCACACTGAGTTGCGCATACCGCCACAAGTGAGAAACACTCTGCACCCAAACGAATCACGACATTTGCTTGATGACTTTGTTTTATTTTCAGGTCTACTGTGCACTGACAATCCGCATCCCTGTCCAAAGCGAGAGTGGCCATTCACAGAAGACCACTTAACACCATATTGCCACAATGGGGGCACATGTGTGTTGAGAGATGGGGATAGACGCTGTGACTGCCCGCCTGGTTTTGTTGGAGTAAGGCAAGTGAAGATGTATCTCCTCCATTTGATGTTCCACACATGGATGATGCTTTGGCTCAGTACTATGTCACTAGGCATTCATTAACATAATTGATGGTGCACCAATTAGTTTAAACTGAATACCGCAATCAGCATCAGTATGACGTTATAGGAAAAATAAGAAGCTTCTCATTTCTGGTTGTTTGCATATTCCTTACATTCACCAAAGTCCCCACTTTTATGATGCTCGGTGGACTTATCAATCGACTCCGGCAGTTGACGAAGATGGATCCATGTAGTAAAACACACCTTCACTTCCGCTCTGTGTTACTGTAGCGCTGAACTCGGTTGGGAGCAAAAGACCTGTATGGGTTAGGCAGCAACAGTCAGTAGTCGGTAAACATCAAAGAACACCCGCCTGAGGACGCCAATGGAACCATGTTACCTGTACAGCTTGCGTTGAATTAACAAGCGTTTCATGTGGTAGAGATGTGACAGTCTATGGTTTCGTGCACATTTGTGACTTAAAACTAACGCTGCTTAACCGCAATATTTGTGTATGTAAATTGGGTGTTACCCACCCGAAAAGCCTGTACTCCACTCACCTTTTAACCTTGTTTGCTCCCTTCAGCTAGAAATAACACGCCTCGAACCCGAATCCATTGGGATGTTAACTGGAACCAGTACGCCTTTAGGCAACTGGTCACGACGGGCAATGTTTTGCACAACGTTAATGCATACAAACCCGTCTTCTGTTGGAAAGGTGTCTCATCATTGATGCTGGGTATGACGAACTTGCTCGGTTGACTAATTAAAACTTGGTTCATTTGGCAGCACTGCAGGCAACTATATGCATGCGTCTTTCTTAAGCACGACGTGAAAAAACGGATTACACTGGCGTGATGGTTTATCCGGGACGTGTTTCAAATTCCTTTTTATGCGATTTCTCGATTAGGTTGGTCCATACTGAAAACAACTTGAGCCGTACACTAATCAAATTTCTCTGTTATTCACGCATGTTCATGGGTCTATCAACCAAATTTGGTCTAGTTGCAAACTTAGTGACGGAAGTAGTGAGCTTCCGGACAAGTGGGAAGGTAGACATGATGGGATTCGTCTTGATTGGATGACACAATAATTGGACGCGTAGGGTTTTTCTTGACAGTGAAAGTGAAGTTCGTACTTAACTGCTACAACTTCCCGAACGTGTACTCGAAACGAAAGTCCAGGACCCCAAGTTTATGCGGAACCAAAGGAGTTGGTGAACTCAGCGTCGTTATCCTAATGTGGAGCTAAAGAAAGTCCTTTTACATGCCCTAGCCTTCCCCGTGGATGCTACTTTCAGTTGAATGGTCATTTCTGCAAGTCTGATAACAAACATTGCAAACTAGTGCTTGCCTAGCTGTTGCTAGTTAGCGCAACCCAGTGACTAGCTTACCCAATATACCAAGATGGTGGTCATTGTCGAAAACTGCATATATATATATATATATATATATATATATATATATATATATATTAAACACTTTGCCAGTTATAATACAATTGGCTTAGTGCCACAACACATAAGGGGAAAACAAGTAGATCGAAAGGGAAAACGACTGTTAGGGTATTAGAGTCTCACAACAAGTGCGCCATTGTGTACTGTCCTTGGCAATATCCTCTAGCGTTTGCAACCAGATGTGCTCGGCATTCTCTAATTCCCAAAGCGGGAGTCGGGAATATCCAACAGTAACCAACTTCAACGTTTTCGCCTTAACGCATTGGATCCAAATCTTATCTTGCCCTCCTTTTCGTCGTTTCCACCCCACGCCTGTGCTCTCAAATAGGGCTCTTCGTGGTAGCCGCTGTGTAGGCATGCGGAGCACATGCCCAAACCAGCAAAGCCTTCGCAATGAAATGATGCTATCAATCGGTCGCGGAGTTCGTTAGATCTGAAAACTCACCGACGGACTACGTCATTACTGATGTGATGCTGCCATCGAACACCAACAATGCTTCTCAGGCAGAGGTGATCGAAGACAGATGGCCGATGAACATCGCTTTTGCGAACAGGCCGAGTCTCACAGCCGTACAGCAGAATCACTCGTACTGTAGCATTGTAGACTCGTTCCTTGAGAGCGAGACTGAGGTCACGACGAAGCCACAGGTGACGAAGGTTAGCGAAAGCGACTCTAGTCTTGAAAACATGCAGGGAGATCTCATCTGTCAAACGGCCAATACGAAGACAACTCTTACTACAAATGCATTTGTCGACCACTTCCAGCGGATGCCCAAAAAGGGTGAGAGAAGGAAATGCACTTGGCCAGTCCTGTAACAGGACCCTACATTTGTATGGGGCAAAGGTCAACCCAACTTGGATGGCGGACATCTCCAGTCTAAGCGCCACATGCTGGGCGGCTTGGGAGGACTCACTAATCACAGCGATGTCATCAGCTTACTCTAGGCCCCGAAGCCGGTCATCAGGGAGCAGTTCAACACCGAAGGACTCAGAGTTATCCAGGGCAGTATCAAGGATCTCGCCCATGGCGAAGTTGAACAAGAATGTATAGGCTGGGCAACCCTGTCTAACACCGCTGGTGATAGTGAAAGGGGATGAAATGTCTCCGTATACTCGCATATGGCCCGAAATTTTATGGTAAATGGCACGGAGAATGCTTATGTACTTCTCAGTTACTCTCCACTTCAGTAAGCAGTCCCAAAGTGCCACGCTGTCAACAGAGTCAAACGCGGCTCGAATGTCCAAAGATATGACTATTACTTGGTGGACTGAAGGTATGGCGATGTCCAACTCTCTGGCGGATCGTAAAGATGTGATCGACGCAACTGCGACCCGGGCGAAATCCAGCTTGTTGTTCACGCAGGGGTTGTTGCCGTACCCAACTGAACCTCCACAAGATTAGGGCAACGAAGAGTTTGGACGCGACACAGATGAGACTGATGCCACCATGGCTCGAGCAAATGGTGCAGTCTCCACTTTTGTAAACGGGTACAACATCCGCTAAATTCCAGGCGCATTGAATGGTTTCAGTTGTCCAAATCTGATGGAAGAGAGATGTCAGTTCGCGAGAGAGAGCAGGACCCTCATATTTGAAGGGTGCAGGAGAAGTTCATCTGAGTTGGGTGACTGGTGGCGCTTCAATAGGCGAAGCTCATAGGAAACCTCAGCCTCAGTCGGTGGACAAACATCCACGCACCAGGAAGCACTGTGAACCCCGGAACATGGTTGGCGGTGCGGTAGAATTAGGTTTAGCATACTCGGCCGCCAGCACCTCGGCTAAGGATAGAGAGTGCGGAGAACGAAAACATGAGCAGAGAGTGGTAAATCCATCAGTTCATGTGTTGTGTGGAAATAAAGCTTCCCGGTTGGCCAGGCCGAGAAAGGGGGTGGACTTACAGGGCCCCACCCGGAGGCAGCGGGACGAATTCAGAGAATCGCGCCTATGGGGAGATGGTGACTGATTGCTCGATGCAAACGCCTTTCATATGGCTGGCTTCTAAACAGGGGCCCAGTACTTCCAGTAATTCAGCGACAAGCTGAAGGATTACAATGCTCCAGCGAGGTGAAGCAAGGTGCAGTGACTTTATTGAGTGGCGAGCCACATGCGCCACGGCGTAGAGTTGTTAAACAAACATATGAGGCTTTTTATAGGGAGAACACTTGCTAGGTGAAAACCCACCACGTCCTGGAACATTGCCGCCGAACCTTTCGCTGGGATGGAATAATCCCGAACCACCCATCTGACACCATGAGGAGGTAGTTCAACAAGCTAGCCCAACTCCAGTGAAGTCGCAGATAGTATGCTGCTGATGCTCAGGATAAACCCTAACCAGTTCCCAATTGTTTCACAAGTCTCTGCATCTCAACATGTTTCGCATCACGCCAACTCAGGTGTATACAATTATATCGCGATTTATAGTTGTGTGATTCAAACAGCACTTCCCCGACATGAGTAAGAATACATCAGTGGTCAACCGCAAAGGACACAGGTAGCCAATTAATTGAGAGCTCGTCAGTTTGCGAAAACCATCTCACCAAGCTGAGGTGCCAAAGTCTTTTGGATTGGCGCGGAAGTAATATCGATAAACTAGCTCCCTCGGAGAACTGTGACGTGTAAGTCCAGCAGACGCTGCTACTGAATAGTTAACAAATTTGTGCCTCATGTGATTCATGCGCTCTTCAAGAAATACGGGATTTTCAGATGCCTTATTCTCAAACATGGTGAGTTAAACATTCATAACCCTTAATCGATATCCAGCGCTTTCAGGAGCAACAGGCATTTATGATTGTAAGTGGAATTCCACACACATGTATAAAATGTATGACATCGAAGTTTGACGAGCAGTCAAGGCCCAACAGACCCTATCCAACTTCAAAATGACCTCGACAAAATCTACGGGTGGTCGGTTCAAAATCGCTCTTTATTCGATGTACCTAAACGCCGTGTGTTCCATTTACGGCGCCGACTGGTCCACACTTATAAACTGGGCGACTAGAATCTGCAATGCTGCCCTCAAAAAAAGGACCTCGGTGTGCTGATCCAGGAAGATCTCGGTTGGCCAGAGCAGTCTGGAAAAGCGTCGAATAAGTGGTCCAAATCATGGAACTCCTATGGAGGGCTTTCGGACGATTCGAACCACCTATTTTCCGCCAACTACTTTCCGCTTATACACGCCCTCATGTCGAAAATGCAATTCCAGCATGACATTCACAGTTGAAGCGGGATCTTATTGCCTTGGAGATTCTACAACGTCTGACGATCAAAAATGTCAAGCGGCTGCGACACATTTTATATGAACAACGCCATCGAGTATTAAGCACTTTCAGTGGACGCTATCGGCGTTTGAGCATTGACCTGATCACGGTTTAGTAAATTCTAAACAGTCCTAGTCACCCGTGCCATCACCTGCTGAAGCTCCGTCACAACAACAGACTGAGAGGTAATCGTCTCGGATTGACAAAACGATACAGACGGATAGAATGTCGAAGGAACTTGTCACTGCGTGTTTACCACACCTGG